AATTTTTTCATTCAAATATGCAGTACTTGCAACCTGCTATTTTTTTATTCAAATATGCAGTACTTGCAACCTGCTATTTTTTTTATTCAAATATGCAGTACTTCGCTCAGTGGAATTGCGCCAAAAGCCTTCCTTATTTGATACAAATAATTTTGCCGATTCCTTAGTTAAAAATTGCTTTCGCGGATGCGTAGGGAAGTGCGCAATTTCAAGCCTCACTTGTCGCGCTCACGTAACTGTTTCCCTTGACTCAATGGAATCACTCTTCATAACCGTCCCAACCAGTTCTGTAGGTTATCGTCCAGATGACGCGCTATCGCATCATCTTTCGTCTTCTTCTCGTTTTATAGTTTTGGGGTTTGGGGCTTGGGACCGTTTCCGGTCATGTTCGGCATAATTTCCCCAAGGGAGCAAATTCCGACCCCAGCTTTGGTGTCCTCGCGTGGCCTGTAGGAGTAATGATTAATTATTTGCAGAAATACATAATGACCAAAACGTCCGGACGATCAAGACGTCCGGCGGACGTTTTGGTCGTTAAACCGACCAAACGGTCCGGGGACCAAAAAAAGTCCGCCGTAAATTTTGCCCACCCAAAATTTTTTACGTACTCCGACCAAAGTGTCCGGGCTGGAATAGTGTCCTGACCAAAGTGTCCAGGCTGAAATAGTGCTCTGACCAAAGTGTCCGGGCGGAAAAAGCTTTTAGGAGCTTTAGGTCGCATTAAGAACGTAAAAAAGTTTGGGTGGAAAATTTACGGCGGACGTTTTTTTGGCCCCCGGACGGTTTGGTCGGTTTAACGACCAAAACGTCCGCCGGACGTCTTGATCGTCCGGACGTTTTGGTCGGTTACATACACTGCATGTCTCAAAGGATTTACGGATACTGTACTGAGACCCTGCACTGGGAGAAATTTTGCACAGTATGAGCAGCACGATACTGTAGACAGGTGGATTTAAAGCCGATTGCGTTCAGCCAATAGCCAGCACTCTGCATGCAGTTGCAAGCCGTGTATGTGAGCAGTGAACGCAGTCGTACAACGTACGCGTGGCTGCACAGCTAAAACTTTCTCCGAGTGCAGGGTGTCAGTACAGTACGCAGAATGTTCATTTATACCCGTCCAAACGGTTTACTGTATATATCAGCCAGACTAGTCGGCCATCACTTCCGTACTCAACCGTCAAAGTAGGACCTAATGAAACCAAAGCAGAAAATAATAAACCCTTGTTTTTTAAGAAATTGGTACAAGCACCCTATTCCATCCCGCTTTTCTATTCTAGCAAGGCCTAAAACAGTGCCCATTCAAGAACAAAGTATCCATCCTTGAAAATGGTTTATTCATCATTGCTCCAAAAAGTGTGTATTACAATGTAAAATTCAGATAAACAAAAAATTAAATGTGGTACTTATCTGAATTTTAAATCAATTAAGCGCTCCGTGTAAAGGCAGCTCTTTATTGCACCTTGCTAGATGAATATCAAATCCGCGAGTGAAATGCAAGCGTAAGTTCATTTTATTACACAACAGACACGTGTTTTGCTCAGTATATCAGTAGCCGTTTTTTGATAAGCCATGCTGCGGGAAGTGCTTTAAAGCAAACGTACAATAATTAAATAAATTTTGTGGAATCTCTAGCAGTGTACGCAGTCGTCGTCTTCGCGCTTTCCGCGAAAGTCCAGCTTTTCTGCCAACTGTACACATGCTAAATTGAAGGATTTAGTGATTATTAAGGTCGAAGATCGCATCCGCTGGAGTGAAAGGTGACCAGCTGAAGTTTATCTTCTGTTTCTGGATTTTAGCTAACAATACCGGTTGCTGGGTTGACACTTCCTACGGTTACCGAGTTTGCCTGATTTGCGCTAATTCAGTCAAATATCCCGCATTAAGTCATGGCCGAACCGGATATTGGCCGTTATTCAGATTGATTACGTGCGTAGGCTACGGACACTATAAACCCTCTTGCGTCTGAGTTGTGACAGCAGGAAGAAATAATTGATCACCGGGTTCTCAGCACAGAGCACTTATGCATCCGCTTGCGGATGGAAACAAGAAAGTCATCTGGGATATAAAGTGCACAATTATGTATCATGGTGTTTATTGAGGATGATCCAGTTATTACCGGAACTGCTTGAAAGGTTCCTTAACTGTTGCTACCGCTTTACAGTGCAACAGCCAATCGCCTTGCACTGTTGGAGTAATGCCATTTTTGTTCAGCTTATATAAATTTTCGACAAAGTACCTTTTCCCTTTTCGACTGCTGCGCAGGAGATTTTACCATCCGTAAACGGACTGCCATAGGTGGCCCGTGGCCTAACTTTGAAAGTTATGAACATTAATCCACTATTGATTTCTGCTCGTAAAATTCAAGTGCTTCGCCGTTTTTAAGGTATTAAATACAAAAAAAATCGGTAAATATTGCACAGTAAAAACCGGCTGGCTGAGATACTGTAGCTCGACCAAGCTGCACCGCAGTTGCCAGAGGTTTTGCACAGAAAAACAGCACTTGTACTGTGTGAGCGCTCTCGCATACGAGAGCGGAGCCGCGAATTGGGCATACACTCTTCAGTGTACAGTACACACATTCCCCGTGTTCTTTTGGGAGTATACAAACTTTGCGGTGAAACTCAGTCGCTGCAGTGCCTGTCGAGATTGGCTGCTTTCCAAACGCACAGATGAGCTCGTGGGTGGCCATTATGTTGGTCTGCGTCCGGAACTAAAGCAGGAATCATGTCACTTGGTGCTAATACCTCACTGTTTACTTCCGTTTCGAAGGCATCCTGTTGAGCAATTTTCAAGGTGGAAGTATAGTCTAAGCATTTTTAAGTACTTTAATATCGGCATTAGTCACCGCGGTCTAACGCCGCACTGCACTATGAAAATACACTACTTAAAATCTCAAAGGTACAGGCATTATTCTTGCGATCAAGGAAAACATTCATCACGCCAACTTAATTATGACGCACGAAAATGATACCTGACGCAAATCGGGTTAGTTAAAAAGGCGCGACGGAGCTACTAAAATGGGCGCTTCAGCTTTTAAGCATGGTGACAAGAACAACTCAGCAGATATGTTCTGCTTGTTGTGATAATCCATCCCAAAGTCGGAGGTCAGTTGGTAAATTACTCGATTTTTTGTTCATAATAATCATGTTGAAATGTTAAGTTGCAGTTCATCTGTTGTACACCGCGTTTTGGTCGTGATCGTCGGGGTTAGCGCCTTTACTATGTTGGCTGTTAATGTGTCTGTATGGATTCTGGCTACGTGGACGTACTTCGACAAGTCTACGGATAGTGTCCACATCAGGCAATGGCCGCAGATACGTGATCTCATGGCGCAGCGGACGGTACCGTGGACGGCATTCGTTTCTCGCTACCAGATGAACGATACTGGAATACCGAAAGAGCCGGTGCATTTTGTCCGCGCCAAATATTCCGCAAAAACCCCATTGAGCCCATCCGCGGCAATGCTGCGTTCCAATCCAAAGCATCTCGCTACAATCTGGGAAAGTTTAGGTTCAGGGCGCTTTAACCAGCACCAGATTTCTGCATTAGCACTTCGCTTGGCCCAAAGATCTCGGTCACGGCATGTAACGCAGCCGCAGGACAACTGGTTTCTTGGGTAAAACCCATTAGACGAGACAAGTAAAAATACAGTCTCCAACCGATCTATATGGTTACACCGTTTACAAATTTGCTTTTAACGACATATTAATGTCAAATAACTACTTTCGCCCGTCTTTTTGTAATAAAAAATGCCGCTGCTGTCCTGTTGCTCACTGTAAATCGCAATTTTTGTGTGAGATTACTACATTTTCTGATCACGTTGTGTGTAATGTGTGTTAAGCATCTTTGGCTAAGTGGGCGCAACTCCCATTAAGCGCCTGCCAAAGTTCATTGAGGTTTTGTTCATTTCACGAAGATATAAGCATAAATTAACCCCTGGAATAACTAGTAATCGTGTCAGGCTGCTTACAATTATTATTGTTACAAAAAAATTACGACAACAGTACAGAGTAAAACTGAGCTTCTTTCTGTCAGTTCACATGCAAAATTTTAGATATTGGTGCACAAGTGAATTACATAGCAAATAAAGCCATCCTTACAAAAGGCAACAGTGTGGCACTGGAGATGCGTGGCATTGTGGTAGTGCAAAATACTTCACGCTATATTTTACTGCCCTTGATAATGCCAAAGAAAGCTGTGATCTCAAAGTGTTTGCGTTCACCTGGCGTGATTCATTTGCTGTTTCGTGTTAATCGGTGCTGATGAGCAGGGAGTGCTTATGATTTCGATCGATACTTCAAAATCATTTGCACTGGCCATGGGCAGTACAAATGTGTAGCTTAACAAAGCGGAAAGAAAAGCACAGTTGTTTCTGGTAATAATTTTGCAACCTGGTCCTGGTCGATATTTAAGCCGGTGGCTGTTGAAATACAGGTAAAAATAATCTACCCAAAAGGAACGTGCACTCACTGTACGGATCCAGCGTAGCCCAGTTACATGAACAACTTTTATATATATATATATATATATATATATATATATATATATATATATATATATATATATGTATGTATATATATATATACCATATATATATATGGTATGGACATTCGTTTGGTAAGTGGTAAGCAGAAGAATGCTAAAAGAAATCCTGCTATCCCATATTCCGCTTAAAGAAGCAACTTTTGGACAGACGGTATTGCTCGTCTAGAGACTAAAAAGTGCAGTATTTAAAGATTTAAAACCTGTTTCAAGTAGGACAAATCCTACGAATACTTGTACGATACGGAGACTCATAATACCGGTACTTTACTTCACTTACTTCTTTCTAGGACAGACCGGTAAATGATTCAGGTAGTCACACTTTATTGCTGGTAATTTGGCTGACAATTGGCACCTGTTTCCTTGCCCGCAGCGATGGTAGCAACATCCTAAGCTATGCACAAGGGCCTTGTGACAAGGCCCTTGTTAACGCGCATTTTAGTTGTACAAGCGCAAAATATATACACCAACAACGCAGAATCAATTACAGCATATGAACCTTTTATTAACCTCTACTATGTACGGTTCTGCGCTTGTTAGTGAGTCTCACACCCTCTGGTCCGATGCTTATTAACTTAATCGTATAACCCGTGAGCACACGATGGGCGAAAATCCCAACATGACAAGCAACCGAGCCCTAAGAATCACCGACACTCTTGCACTGCCAACAAACGGTAAGCGTAATTCATTAGGCAAAAGTTTCGTGATTTTTGGAACCAACCTGGTGGTAAAATATAGACATAACATTCTGGAATACTGTAAAAAATCAGTCTACGGTTTTTTTAATCAATAAGGGTTTCTTTGGTTGGCGGAACAGAGCTGTAGAGCAAAATTTTCACTCGGACACCTTGCCGCACCTCATGTAAATATGCAGACTGTTTCTTTGAAAGGTTTATGTCCCCATATCAAACTGTTTTCGAAGACACTAACTGTTCAGATTTCCTTTCTGATCATTTTCGGAGTGGGTGATGGGGGCAGAGGCTACCCCAAAAAAAGTGCAAATGATAGGTTTGACCTAAGAATTTTTTCGGTCACACCGATATTTTTTGGGAACCTTCTGGTTACGATCATATTCTCCGGCAGGTTCGGTTTTACGCTCTAATGAAACCGTACCAGTAGACGTCCAGTTGGCTGCATCAAAACTGCAAAATAAACTTTTGAGGACACATTCTTGACGGATGGTTTTCCAGACCGGCTGATACTTTAGGCGATTTAAACTATAGTTTTTGGTCACCGCATATTCCGTAAATGGTTTAATGCCAGCAGGATAGTTGACGATATTAAGCCAAATGCGAGGACAACGCCAACCTACGTTGCACCCGCAACCCGCCTTGTGGTAGTACGATGTACAGGGCTTGCTGTTCTTGTTCCCCCATACGCCAAAAGCGCACCTGCCTTTCGGCCCGTTCGGCTGCAGTCATACTCGACACTGCAGAGTAGTTCGAGCGAAATACTACTACCTGCAAAATAAGAGACAAATGAAAGAACTGATCGCAGTAACCTCGTCCAACAATTGGCGCATTTAGGATACCATAAAAAATCTTTCTAGTGGAGGAACCAGTACGAGTAGTGTTTCTGTCAAGACGTGGGTCGCTTTGTTGCTAAACATTAAGAAAAAAGGGCTTGCATTCAAACGGTACGCAATGTTACGAGGGCCTCCTTCCGGTACTCAGCGAACATGACGCTTTTATACTGCAAAAATGGTGATTACCATTAGAATAACCGAACGTTATTGTCACCGTAGTGCATATGATAGTCTTATCGATAACATAAAAACATCGTACATATGTGCGCAGAACTGCAGTAATACATTAATAAATACGTCTGTGCTATGGGTCAGCTATGGGCTATGGGACAAAGTTAAATTTAGAAACATTTCCCCCAAATGAAATTTTGATAGCCATAGTCCACAATCGTATCTTTGTATGCATCTAATATTCTGCTAAGCACGCTTTCGCTTATCGGAGGGCGACATCTCATAGAACCCCCTGGCAGGACTACACTCGGAGGGTTTTGTGTAGAAGGAACATTCTGCAGAAGGGTTTTTAAACATCTTTTTGAAGCTGAATGAAAAGATCAGTTGTTTTATTGTATCTGAATATTCATTGCACCACGCAACAATGTTTGTGATGGTCTTTCAAGTTCACCTTGAGGCTTGAATTCACCTTTGTACCGATAACGGCATCCGAGCGTTGGCCCCGAAACAGATAATTTCGAAAGCAGAATGCATGCGCGCTAATTTTGGAAAATGCAAAGTTTAATAATGTCGCTTTTTTAATTTACTTGGACGTTTTTTCTGACCATTTTCTACGGGGTGGACGATCATAATATAGATCCACTTCCTTAATAATGCAAGTTTAAGTTTTGTTCACATAACGGAAACCTCACTAAATCTTCCATAAACGCCGCGTATTACCCGTAGTGATAGATGGACCTCCATGAACAACTTGAACAGTTTTACTACGCAAAAGTGCAGCCACAACTTCTGCCGAAAACTGCTGCCACAAGCCTCCTCCTGTTCATCTAGATTGTGCACTGCATATCGCTAAATACCCTTTTGAGTGAGAACCGAAAGATCAGTATCTAACGCACCGTATGAATTTGTTTTAGAAAAGGGTCGCCCATCGCGGAAAAGGCTGACGATTCCGGATGTCTATGGGAACTCAGATGTTCCCAATCCGGAATATATTAAAAGCCACCTTTTGACGGAAGACCGATTGGACGAAACCTTGGCCCTTCGGCTACTCCATGATGCGTCTGAAATCCTTCGCGCTGAACCCAACGTTCTCACTCTGCCTTCCAACATTACCGTCGCGGGCGATATTCATGGGCAGTTCTACGACCTCCTCACTATTCTCCGCACCGGTCGTCCACATTTTTTATTCTTGGGTGATAACGTGGATCGTGGCAGCTTTGGTATCGAATGCATCTTGTATCTGTTTGCGCTCAAAATTTCTTTCCCAACGAAATACTTTCTGCTACGCGGCAACCACGAAAGTCGGCATCTCACCAAACACTTCACGTTCAAGCGTGAGTGTCTGGTCAAGTACTCTCAAAGCGTGTACGACGCCTGTATGGTAGCCTTTGACACACTGCCATTGGCGGCAATCATCAATCAGCAGTTTCTGTGCATCCACGCAGGTCTCTCGCCAGAACTCCGCACTATAGATGATCTTAACAAATTTTCTCGGTTTAAAGAGGTCAGCAAGGCCGGTATGATGTGCGATATCTTATGGTCAGATCCTGTTCCAGAATTTGGGCAAGAAGTAGCTCCTTATTTATATTCCCATAACAGAATCCGTGGGTGTTCGTATAATTATAGTTACTACGCGGTGGAGGAATTTCTAGAGAGAAATAATTTATTGGGAATTATTCGAGGCCACGAAGTACAGAGCGCCGGGTTCAAGGTTTACAAGGGCAAACAGGCGGATAGTTACCCTGTATTAATCTCACTTTTTTCCGCTCCGCATTACTTGGGCAAGTTTAACACTAAAGCCGCGGTACTGGATTATGCTAATGGAAAAATTCACATCCGACAATTTAGCAGTGTGGAGCATCCGTTCTGGTTGCCGAACTTTACGGATGCGTTTACGTGGTCCTATCCTTATATGGTCAAGAAAGTGCGCGAAATTATTTTGGTTATACTAAGTATTTGTACGGAGGAAGAACTGGACAAGAGCGACCGAGCAAGTCAACGGCGCGGGATGATGGAGCAGAGCAAGCACGTGTTTACTTTGAAAGCCCGGACGATGAAAAGGTTCGTTGACCGGTGGAAAAAGACCGAGCAGCAGCTGCCTTGTAAAGACTTTCTGACTTTGAATTATTATTCGTCTCCGGAAAACAATGCGCTCTTTAATAAGATTAATATTATAAATGATGTGGAGATTTCGGATAAGATTCAAAGCCCGCTTGGTAAAACAGCGTCATTGCCTTTTGATTTACAACACGTGGATATAAGAAGTAGCAGCAACGCACAAGGGGCAGCGCCTGTGATTCGACTTAGTCACAGTTTAGCGCACATATCAAATGGCGATATTAATGATGTCGAGGATTGACCGAAGGATTGGGGAAGTTCCCGTGAATCCAACAGGTTATCCTAAATACCGTTTCAACTTTTACAGTTTCAACCAATGCTTCAGCCTTTATGGTTTCCAATCTCAGAGCAGATAGAACGACAAAATGAGAAATAGAGTTATTAGGGCAAACAGAAATAAACGATGCCTGCCGTAGCGTTTTTTGCATTTCTACTAGAGTACTGCATTTGTTGTTGGGTTTTATTTCTGTTACTTCTGTTAAAGGGAAGCACTTCGCACGAATAATAGTCAGTCGCCTTGCAAAAGCATTGAATAATACATTAATGAATCTGCGCGCATTTGACGACTTCTAAAAATGATGCAAATTTAGACGTTGAAAAAACACCCAAAATCATCTAATGTGTTATACTTTTTCGACCTCGCATTCGTACCGACCCAACCGCCTCTAAACAGCGGCCACATTACCCCTAACCACGACCAAACTTAAACGCTGACTCAAAAATGCAGTAAAATGAGATTTTTTTGTCATATCGTGTATCTTCCTTCCAAAGAAACGAACCATCTCCGCACAAGCTTTCCCGAAAGTTCCGAAGGTTTCAACGGCCAGAGGGTAAAACAGGCTTACCCTCTCCTCTACAAAGGCTTACTTCGGACGTTTGCTGTCTTTTGCTTACCGTGCCGCACTGCCGGGCTTCCTTGAGTTTGCTCGCAAATAGGACGCGGCTTATGTACAATACTGTAATAGTATCTATTGAGAAACTTTTACATAACTACTACATACGAAATTACTTTTTCACAAACAACCGTTAACGTTGCTCGCTGTTATTGGACGGTTTATAATTCCATCCGGTTCTCTATTGGAAGATGGTGAAACGGGTTTCGCGGCTATCTCACCCCTGTGTGAACAGAAACGAAACTAAACGCCAACACTTTGCACACCTTTATATCCCTCTCACATACAACACATCAAAGGGCACCGCAGCAGAATACTGCGCGAAAAAGCAAGCAGCTCTGACGACGAAATGTAGAAACTAAAGAATTTACCAGGGTTAGGATCTGGTAGATGGAAGCACTGGCGAAAAACAGTGAAACAACCTAACAGCCGCGCGAGCGCGGGTGTACGGAGAGGCCACTCTTCCTCCCAGTATACTTCGTTCCAATGTACTTCAATATCTTAAGTTGTAAATTATTGGAATGATGTGATGCTAAAGGATTTGTATTGTGTACACATGCGTGAAAGACGTTCGCAAGTATGCCGGTACCTGTGATATACAAGTTGTGAATTAATTATAACGGACTTATAACAATAATGTTCCCCCGCCTGAAAACCATGTTAGCAGCTCATCATCAACGTTTGATTTGACAAACCCGTGACAGCAAAAAAGACACCAAATAATTCCATTAACAAGTTTTATTGATTTTAAAATTACAGTGATGAACTTTTCAGCCAAAAATGGGCGTAATAATTGCTCGATATCCAAAAACGATATGCGTCATTGCGGTGCATAATGCAAACGAAGAGATCAGACGCAAGTACACGATGCAGCGGCAAAGCCACAGCTTCGATACAGGAAACCGGTGGCGAGCCCATTTGGGATATGCTTTGTATCGTAGTGGCGCCCACTGTATCGTAGTGGCGCCCACCAAAGAATGTCCCATTTCTGTACTGCAGGGAAACCAGTTACGGTGCAGTATCGTAGCAAGATGCGTTACAGATTGGGGACGAGGCCTTGCACATCCGTATCATACCCCAAAAGCTATTGTACGTACTCACTTTTTGAACGCCCTTTGACTATGTCACTCCTCGCCTGTTTCCAGACTTACTGTACGTACGCATGCAAGCGATCAAGTCACTAATATTGTATTGTTGCTTCCGTTGCACGAGTTTTGTTTACAAAAAAAACAGTTCGGACTGAACTGCGCCGGTTTAAAGACGCAGCACACAGTAAAACTATACACACTGTACCTATGGCGGAGCAGTCTGGAGTGACGTGGTACTTGGTAGCATCACAACTTGCATGCTCCACCTTTCCAATGCCGTCGCGTATATATCCGCTGACAATTATTGTAAGACGACTAATGTAGCCGCTAGAGGAAGCGGTACGTGCAAAAATGCAACGTGCAAATCGACATAAAATACAAACGTGTCGGCATCGATAACCTAATACGTTTCACGATATCAGTGAGGTGACTCCATTTAAACTGCACCTGTTTTATTTTCCTCGTTTGACATAGACATCTATGATTTATGGAGAAGAAGAACGACGAGACGACCTTGTTTTTGTCATACGGCAAAGTTTTAATGTCGGTTGTGAGCCGCCCGCTGCAAGCGTACACGGTTAAGGCAATCAAATGCGGTTAGTTCCCCGGAAGGAGTCCAACTCGAACCACTGGCTGGCGACCCTGAAAAACACAAAAACGGTGATTCAAAGACTCCAAATTCTTTCGCTTGACAATTTAGTTTTTCATTTTTTCGAAAAAAGGAAGCCTACAACTAGAATTTCTGTGGCCCGGTTGTGGGTGATCGGCAGTAGACATCGTCGGCATTGAGCATAAAGTAGCGAATCTACGCCCATTGCCATCCGTCAAGAATAAACTTGTGACCATTTATATCGTTTATTGCCGCGTGTGCTTGGCTAAAGGGAGAACCGAAGTATGGAGCATGTTGCTGGTTATGGAATTCATTACGTTTGCTATGAAGATTGCCCTCTTGTGTCCTTTGACCTTTCCGTTCGTTTTTTTCTAAATTTGTTTTGCGCGAGTTTCCGAGTTCACCCACCCTCCAGATTTTTCCACATTTACAAGTATTAGACTTTCCCTCAGCCCTGTTACACAATCGCTTTGCCTTACTATGCAACTTTCAGTTTCTGAGCGGCAATAGCCACAGTACGAAAAGTACGCAAAGGTCACCGCATTCCTCAGTGCCGCCATGTGCCATATTATTTAATGTTCTTTTTAGTCCCCAGTTTTCGTTGTTGAGATTCTTGGTTATTTTCACTGCCGGTTTTGATTTGTTAACTTTGATCCATTGCTTGGACGGAGGATTTTTAACCAGTGTGAAATCGAGCGTCTGACACTCGACACAGTCCCCATCGCGCTTACATGCGCCGTGCGTATCCATCGCGAAAACCTCGTTGCGCACAACATCACTGCGACCCATATGTTGGGGGTTAATGTGGTCATCCAATCTTGCACCGAAGCCATTCTTTCGACTATCCTCATTCTGATCCCCGCTGCAACTCTTGCGCCTGAACAGAGCCCGCATCGTTTCATAAAACTGAGGAAATAAAACAATATATGATATAATCACGAACATACCGCACGAAGCAACAGGAAACATCTAGATTTAATGTGACTAAAATCGAAATCTTAAAAATTAAAAATGTGATGTTTCCAGAAGTTACCGGCAGGCAGCTGGGTCCGTTCGGCCAATCGTTCTTTTGCGACGACATGGATAGGGGAAAAAGTTACGTACAGACTGTAGCAGAAGGTGTCTGACTATTCGAAAGCAAACTGTTTTGTGTTAATTCCCTATGACACTTTTACTAGCATTAAGGTAGACTTTAGCGAGGAACATTTTATATAAATCTGTGCAGTCTACAGGCAGCAATTGACCGATAAAAAGTCGAGATAGGATACGAGGAATTTGTACGAGCAGGTTTCTGGTAATATGAGCGATAAATACTTTGCATCTGACGCGCTGTGTACATTCTCTAGCTAACGTTGCGCAACATTGACCAGAAAAGGCCTGGATGAAAACTGGCATGAAAGTGGAATTGTATATTCCGCCTTTGACAGCAAATTTAGTACCAGAAGTGGCACAGCTATTCTTTCTGAACGGGCTACGTCACATCTCCCCCCAGTCGGTTCCCCACTGGGGGGGAGATGTGACGTAGCAACAGATAGTTGCCACCAATTGTGGTACGCTGTGCGGTCAGTGTGAGGTTGTGCAATTAAGTGCTAAGTCGTGACAAGTAAGAAAGTGATAAGCCATTGCATCCGATTTCTTTGTGTAGCACACTAAAATTATGAACGCATAGGTTGTGGACAGTTCGCCCCGTATTAATTAAAGTTGGTTGGATTGCAGTTTGGTTGTTTGGCCGTGACATATCTGTTGCTACTATACCAGACACGCGATTCCTTCAACGATACCGAAAGCATGAAAGACATCTTGAAACGGCAGGAAATTTTGTTGAATCATCTGTGGAACGCGGCCGTCCAAGATTGTCGATAATACAAGAAGCCATCTGAACGAAAGCACAGTTTGTAATATATATTTTTTTCACAATAATAGTCACACATATTAGTGGACGTATTACTGATACGAGAGCATGACATGGACGTACGACATAAATACCGGACTGCCTCTTCGACAGCATTATAATAATTACAGAGTATGTTTGTTTGCTCTGTATGTTTGTTTGCACGTGTATATAAATAAATCTATGCATAGAGTGATCATTATTGTTTTCATAACTGACGGAACCTATCGAAAATTAATTTTAAGATCGCAAATTTAACGTCACGGCCTATCCGAAAATAAACATAGGAATCAAATCCGCCTCTTTCTTCATATAATTTTCTGTTTCGCATCTAAGGTCACGCATTACAAGTTACAACTAAGCAACCGGGTACTAAAGACAAACAGTTTCTGGCAAACAAACACATTAATAATTAATAACTTGTCACAGAATAACCGAAAAAATTGCTCAGAAAAATTGAATAGAAGTTCGCTAAAGTCGAGGTTTTTAGCGGGTAGACTGGCTTCGCCTCCTATATTTATGGGATTGTGGGTTATGCCGAAGCGTTAAATCATCCGTGCTACTGTATACTTTAGGTCTTTAAGATACATCGTGATGACAATATAGTCGTAACCAATTTAAGCGCTCCTCCTCATTTTATTCGCTGGATCGTACATGCCGGCATCATGTTGACCATCGGTGCAATCCCACAGATATTTCACCCATGAATAAGAATAAAACAAGCAAAACTAAACATTAAAAATGCTAGAAATAATTCAGTGTTGCCTTGCATCTTCCGCTAGGCTATAAAATAGGCTGCTGGGGTTTTCTAGGAGTTTTTTCGGTGCTTCGAATTCTTTGATTCGTCCAGCCTCCATCACCATCACACTGCAGCATAAAAACCAAGCAGTCAAGCGACAACAACAAAAGGCAAACAGAACCAAATAAAGCCTTTCAGTATACCGTACCGATTTGCGTCCATGATCGTGTTCAAGCGATGGGCAATAGTGATAATTGTACAGTCCGCAAATTCCGTGCGGATGATTTCCTGCACAATATCTTTGTTAGTCAACGCGTAACTTTGTCGACAAGGAAACGAGACAGATGTTTTAAGGGTACCTGAATAAAGCTGTCGGTTTCGAAGTCAATAGCCGCAGTCGCTTCGTCCAGAATAAGAATTTTTGATCGTCGAAGCAGCGCACGAGCAAGACATAACAGCTGCCGTTGTCCAACACTATTAAACAGGAAATGTGAAATTCCGTTACCAGTACCATCCGCTTCTGACGGACCTCAGATTTCCACCACTTTCGGTGACTTTAAAATTCAGTCCATGTTGGGCAGCTTGGAAAAACGATTTTAGCCGCGATAACTCCAATGCTTTCCAGATTTGTTCATCGGTACTTTGGTTAAACGGATCCAGATTCATTCGTAAAGAGCCGCTGAACAGCACAGAGTCCTGTCACAAATAACATTATAACAGTATTCCTTAACCGTCATGATTGTAGCAAAGAATAATATCACTGTGCTATCCAATGTATGCCTGGTGTCAGGAACGTCTACCTGAGGAACAATAGTGATGCGCGAACGCAGATCTTGCAGTCCAATTGTGGATATATCAGTGCCGTCGATGTACACGGATCCGCCTGCCGGTTCAATCATGCGCAGCAGCGCTAAGGTCATGGTACTCTTCCCGGATCCAGTGCGGCCAACAATGCCAATCTGAAAGAAAACACAAGTGATTGCGCTGCCTGCTGGTAGTTTACGAATTTACCTTTTCTCCACTGCGGATAGTACAAGTGACCCCGTCCAGCACCAGTTCCAGTCCTTCCCGGTAGCGTGTCTGATAATCCACAAAGGCGATATTTCCGTTGTATGGCCATTTCGATGGGGCACGATTATTGGCTACAATGGCTGGAGCCTGTGCAAAAATACCAGCGGAGGCATAAATATTACTCTAATTATGTAGTACATCATTCTAGTTTGTGTTAATGTGCGAAGTGCGCACAGAGCAAAGCAATCCGATGCAGCTGTCTTTTGACGGTCCTCAGTGCTATGCATAAATGAATGAACGAATCAAGTACGGTACAATGGTTTACGATGTTTTACCTCTACTGGCGTGTGGGAATACTCATACAATCTCTCTATGGAAATCATTGCATTCTTCAGATCGCCCATATTCTGCGCCCACCAGGGAAACACCAGTGTGAGCTGCGAAACATATCGCCAAATGTATCCGTGAATTCATATTCCAATAGAAAACTAAACTTACGGAAATAGCGCCAATTAATCCCAGACCAACAAACGCAGGCTTGGCATCATACCCTAAATAATCCCGTCCGTAAACAGCAAAAATAGCCGCCGCGAAAGTCTGAGTGTTACACAGCAACATTAACACCAGCATCATCCAACTGCAAAGCATCGCTTATTTAAAACATCACAGAAATTTTTTTTTCTCAATTGCATGGAATGACAGAAAGGCATCCGGGAACTCAAGGACGACTTACTGCACCGATGCGTTACTGCAGTGGATAACAGCGGTAGCATGGTCGATTTTTCTGCGATTCTCTAAAATGAAACGGTCACTCTGCTCCATAGCGACAATAACACTACTGCCGGCCATGGATTCTTGCAAACTGGAGATCAACGGGGATCGCGAAAGAACATCCAGGCGTTTTAATTGTAGGGCTGCGCATGTGTAATAGCTCTGACAACCAGAAGTACGCTTTTTAGTAAACGAAACAAATTCAATAAATGCGGTATTTTGGATTTTCACCAACCTTCACAAAATACGCCACAATGAACAGCGGAATGGCAAAAGCGGTAAGGAAAGGGAATACAATGAGAACCTGCAACAAAATCGTGACGAGATATGCTCGCTTTTGCGAAAGTAATTAAACAAAGATATTTTGTGTGAACGGAGAAAGAAAGTAAATCATGTAAATTAACTGCTGATCTTTACCAAAAGACCAAACACCACTGCCTGGAAGAAGGCATTCATCACAAAGCGCAGCTGCATCGGTATTGCAGTGTCAATGGTATCGATATCTTTGCTGAAGCGGTTCACAATTCGTCCCAAGGGTGTCGTATCGAAATATGACATCGGTGCATGCATTAGTCGTATCAACATGGCATTATGCATCGAACGCCCGGCGTTAATTAAAGCTGCCGCGATACCATATAGTCCAATCATGGCAAAAATCACTGAAAAAACATAACAGTAATTTAGCTGTGCATAACACTGTACATTTAGCTCTGCTGCTTTCCATGATAATTTAACTCTGCATGTTGTTCTAAGTTAACGCAGGGTGGCTAGCGAATCGGTATCTTTGCGGAAACAGATAGAGTGCCAAGCATTTGAAAGATAGAAGAGGGTGGTGGTACCACAGGCTTACTGCAGACACTATCGGTTGCTAGAAACCGGAAAACCTTTCAACTACATGGAGCAGAATCCCTTTCTATTTCTGGCCATATCTGTAGAACAAAACCTTAAAATTAATAAAAGGGAGATTTTGTCCGTATCAGAAGTACAGAATCTGGTAGTGAAGCATTTAACGTAATGTCGCCCTTTTTTAAAAAAATACATAATTGTGTTACAGCGAATTTTACATAGAGTTTAGACTGTGGAAAGAAACACAAAATTTATTTGAATAGTGCAGTGCTAGACTCTGATCGCACCTAATTGCGAGTGTTCGACCAATGTCGGCAGCGCTTGAAGGGATATGCATTCGCTTACAATAACTGCGGCAGAAGTCGCTGTTCACCTTGAGTGTCTGGGTGTAACAGTAGAAAGTCAAATTTTTATTACCCGTAAACGAAAGATTTGCTCGCATAACAATTATTATCGTAACAGGAAAAAACGGGCGCTCTAAACGATGATCTATGGTAATTTTCGGGAATGCTATACTCTCAAAAATTTGGGAAGATCGTTAGCCGCTTAGCGCTACGTTTAATTTTTTAGACGATCGGGATCCGTCAACGGATTAACTATGGTCAATCTCTTACGCTGCAAAAGGGCAACAGATGCATAGATCGCAACCTCGAATTTCGTCTGAGCCCAGTTCGTTGATCCATCCTCGTGTGTTGTATTCGTCTGAGCCCATTTGGCCACCCACATGTTGGAGAAGAGAAAGCAAGCGTTGGCCGACACATACCCAAAGCAAATCGTAATGGCCATGGGAATGGTCATCTCCTTAATTAAAGTCCAGTATGTCGACCATGGAATGCCGCCTGTGGAAGATTCTTCCTTGGGGATCAGTTTACCGCCCTCGCTGGTCAGCTGCTTGCGTTTAGCCCGCACCGGGCGGACTTCCATGGACTGGGAGATGTTGATATCTGGAGGCGGGTGCACGGACGCGGCTCTCCGTAACTGGCGGAGCTCTTCGTGGCGTTCCAGTGGTTTCTCTTTCTTCGATGGCTTCTGCATGGATTCCTCTGGGATATTACCCTTGTTCCCGGCCTGTTGACGCGAGTGAGCTGATTCTTCTTCGTGGCTTTTCTCGATATGACACTGGCGAAGGAAGTCACTAAACCGCTCATCGCGGTCAATAAGCTCCTCGTACGATCCAATTTCAGAAATACGCCCTTGCTGTAAAAAGGCATCGAATCGAACCATATTATAAACGTTCGATTGTTAATCTGCTACATCGCTTAGTTTTTGCATCGCAAGATGCGTTATAAAGTGAATATTATCCTACCTCCAAATACGCAATGCTGTCGCATTCCGGTAACCAGTTAATAGCATTTGTGACGAAAATTCGCGTCTAAAAAATAGAGATCCAAATGGTAATTTTTGAACTTGTCGTAATTACACTGAGCGCATTTTACCTTGTTCTTTAAAATGCCTTGGGGTCCGATGATATTCTCAAAGATATGCTTACCGCTGAAAAGATGATAATGTTATAACTAGTCAGCAAAACCATACTTCCTGCTAGGAAAACTTCAGAACTCAATTAAAAATTTGCACTCATGTAGATTTAAAACAGCCTTCAGGTAACTCCATAGCTTACACATGTGCATCTACAGCGCTCAGAGGATCATCAAGGAAGTACAGCTGCAATTGTATAAAGGCTAAGTCTGATGATTTTTGCTCGTTAAAGTTTAAACAATACGCAAGTCGCTTACATCGCAGTCAGCGTAAACGGCCCGCGCCAACGTCACCCGCAGTTTCTGTCCACCGCTAAGGTTGATGCCCTTTTCACCAATCTCCGTTTCATCACCGGACGTCAGAACATCCAAATCCGGCTTCAACGCGCAGCATTCCAGGACTCTGTCATACTTTTCTTCATCGAAAGGTCGGCCAAAGAGAATATTATCCCGCATGGTCATGTTTTGATTCCAGGCTTGCTGCGTTACGTAGGCCACAGAGCCCCGGATGGTCACGTGACCGGATATGCGCTCCATAAAGCCCAAGCAGGCAGCCACAAGCGATGATTTTCCTGTGTAACAAAATGCATTAATGTGGATCTTGTTTGCATTATACACGTCAACGTAAAAAAATTGAGAATGCTTTGTTATCTATGGTATCCAGATTCCAGACAAATTAGGTTACTGTTTACCACTGCCAACACCTCCGACCACGGCAAACAGTTGCCCGTCTTTAACATCTATATTCAGGTTTTTTAGCGTTAGCGCCTGATCCGTAGCGTTGCGATTGTTCCACGAAAAATTCCCCCCAACAATCACAACAACCGAACTTTGCGGACTGTTTGGTCGCGGGAAGCGCTCCATGCTGTTTGGGTCGAGTTCGCGCGCAAGAAAGAAATCCCGCAGACGATTGCAAGCTATTTTTGCCTATTCAAGGTTCGCAGTGAATGCCAAGAAGTACCCCCCGTTACTATATATACGAACATTATAAATGCAATTAACGTTAAAATTAACAATTTGAAGTTGAATCATTAGAATTAATCATTCGTAATAACGAGATTCGGTACAGCAGAGATCAAGCAGATTAAACTGAAACTGATCGCTTTCGTTGTCAGGTACATATACACGAACTTGAATTAGCAGCGTGGTACCAATTGGCAGAAGGTACAATGAATGTCTCAGACTGAACAGGAACAGGAGCGTTACGAAACCGGTTTGAGGAGTCAATCGGTCGCCGGAGACGTAGACATATGTAGCGTAGGTTGTCAGTGCCGCGAGCGGTGACGACACCAACATCAACGCATGGTTGATTGTCGTCAGGTAGCCAGCTTTTTTCAGCGAAACCAACTGCAATAGTAAGAAATCACCGATTTATTTATCCCGTTCTATAAATCATTATGCGACTGGCTTTCCTCATCTTCTCGAGCCTGAATGATCTGCTGCTGAAACTGCGGTTCCCAGGCATACATCTTGAGAACTTTAATTCCGTTGAAAATCTCATTGATTCGGCGTACACGGGCATCTTTCTGTTGCACAGCGGACGCCTGTTTGCATGTCGAAGTTTTACCAGCGAATTTCGTCAAATAATGATTCAAATTATCACAGTTCTTCTCTGTAGGTGTTGAACCCTACTTCAAATTTCTTTGCTCTAGCCACAAGGATAAAGTTCACTAGAACGATGAAGATCAAAGTGAAGAACCCGGCCAAGGAAGCCACACCGACATATTGCCACAGGCAGTACATCATAACCAGGGCGGTCGCTGGCGTAATCCAGACATAGTGGTGATAGTAGAGGAAGTCCGAGATGCGCTGCGTGTCGGCCGTTAACATGTTGCAAACGTCCCCAACACGGTAGTGCCGTTTGGATGAGTTAGCAAGAAACAACGCCTACACTTAAAAAGAATGTTATGCAAATCATCAGAGGAATATTTTTCTTAATCGTATCTTGGCATATAGTAATAAAATAATACTAACGGCTATCATTACTCAAGGGAGATAACGAGATTGTAATAATGCCATGTGTGGTAGTCAAACAGAATTTCTTATCAGATTCTAACATAAGAAAGTCAAATAGAGCATTTCCATATTCGTACGGAAAACAATACCAAACTTTTCATTTTTTTTATTGGACAAATATCGGAACTACAAAGAGTTTTATAATTATGTATTACAGTATTACCGACAAATCTGGCTGAGTTTACTGAAAAAATTTTGGCAGGCCATACTACACCTTTCGATGGATCATAGCGGACAGGGCCGAGCGAATCCGCATACCGCAGCGGCTCGTGGAAAAATTCATCATCCCGAATGCGATACTCTGCACCGCCACCAGCAGGAATAAAATGGTAGCCAGCACGTAGCCTTTCCAAGACCAAACGGCTGGAGTGGCAGCAAATCGAATAATCTGACTAAACAAGCCAAAAAAAACACAATTAGCTGCACAGATCACTAAGAGAAATATAGATTATATGAGTGTAAAATCACTGTGCGACAATATACCCGACTAGCAGCGGAACGACGACCATAATGCCATCGTAAATGACCTTAAAGAATGCCGATTTCCAGAAGAGTGGCCAGGATGTCTGGTAGAGAGCGGACACCAGCGACGGTGTCTTAGTGCGACCACCCGAGTGGCTGATCCGGTTGACGCCAGGGCGGTTGGTGTTGGCGATGTGACTGCTGGCTTCCGACTGAGTATCGAGGTAGTACCTGCCCAAGAAAACAATGCTGCTGGAGAGCAACGCCACAGCCGGCAAAAAGTTTTCGAAATTGCATTTAAAGTGTTCTGGGTAGAAGGGTACTCTCTTAATGCTGGCCACTGAACGCTTATTGCGCTGTGGCGTAATAAGCATTTTTGCTACATTAACAGCATATTGCAATGCCATATCAAAAAATTTTCACAAAACGTCTTTTCACAGAGAAAAGAAAAACGGGCTTACGTGATGTAAAAAGGAATTATCTTTTTCTGTAGATTCCGTAATAATATTTAGGAAATCGTTTCTTGTTTCTGCTTCACACATTGCACAAGTTTTATAAACAATAATTAACGTAGGGAATAAATGCGAATTTCTGTCTTACATCTCATCTCCGGTCAGTGACGTTATTTGCTTGCGCCACGCCTTGGTCAGCCTATTAACCAGATACTCGGTCCGATCTTCTGGTAGTAAATCCCAAATATCCTCTTTTAACAACTGCCGTTTCCACGCGATCTTCATTATTCTGAAAATAAAAATATTTTCGCTTATTCAAGATACCGTATGTTACAGCCTGTCGGTACGAAGACAGAACATTTAATTGGCACACGCGTATGTACTTTGTAATCCAGTGAGAAAATGCCTTATTAAGGAAGGAAGCGCTTTGTTCTGGGGAGGGATTCTGATAAAAAAACATAATTTCTAACCGAACTTCCATGGTATAATGCCAAGAGAAGTGGCACCTTGGTCCAGTTTTCAAATCTTTCCGGGTAATTATCGGCGAGTGCCGATAGAATGAGTTGGATGATGACGATGGGAAGGAACACTTCGTATGTGAACAGACCGAAGACATCGTCTGGACTTTGCTGTGCCGGAAAACACGGAAAAACAGTTATGCCGTGCCGATAAGCAAGAACGAATACTGTAGTTAATAAAAATGTAGGTTTCTGCTACGAACGAAAATTTAGACGAATATGGGATGTGCGTAATGCTCATTGTACCGGTTCTTTCCCAGACACGCGCAGCACTTTACTTCGAAGAATAATGACACCGGCCACGGATAGTAATAGCCAGAATACAAAAAGAATGGCATTAGAAATATGTCCCTTCCGTCGGTCAAGATCGATGTATACCATCGCCAAAAGCTGTACATACGAGTAATGATGTATTTAGACCATAATTTGAAAGGCGTTGATGGATAATAATGATATGTGATATGATCAAAGCTGCCATGTGCAAGTTAAATTAAAAGTAAAGTAGTGTTTGCGCGTTTGCACTTTCTGGTATGTTGGTGGCAGTACACTGAGTACAGAGTAGCCTAACAAAGATTGTGCCGTTATGTGTACAAACTAACACTACTTTAGCAGAAGTAGGTACATTTCAGAAAATTTATTTTTCAGAATACAGAACAGTTATATTTCAGAATACGTAATTCCGCGGTAGGAAAATTGACTCGGGCTTTTAAACACTTAAAGATTAACTTTATCGCACGAAACTAATTTAGGGAAGTGGCTCGGTACATGATACCAAAATCGTGTACTTGCACGAAATATTTCACTTTCGCGCACTCCCAAACCCTTTTTTCTTTTGTTTATGACATTTTGTAGCTAGATGATTTGTATACACAGGCGAGAAAACCGTTTGTGCGCGCAACATCCGGTTCGGAAGTTATGGCTCTTAGAAAATTCCAAAAAGTTTAAATGCATTTAGGTGTGCCAAAAGTCTCATTATGGACCGATCTCCATCAAATTTTGCATGTAAATGCACATAGCCACGAAAAACGTTTCTACACCGATTCACTGTTCTAACATGTTTTTCAAATTTTAGAATGAATTTCAAAACATTTGCAATTCATTTTAAAATTTGAAAAAAATCATGGAAAAGTAGATCGGTGTAAAAACGATCTTCGTGGTTATGTGCATTTACGTGCAAAATTTGAAGGGGATCAGTCCATAATGAGACTTCTGGTACACCTAAATGCGTTTAAACTTTTTGGAATTTTCTAGGGGCCATAACTCCCGAACCGGATGTTGCGCGCACAAACGGGTTTCTCGCCTGCGCATACAAATCATCTGGCTACAAAATGTCATAAACAAAAGAAAAAAGGGTTTGGGAGTGCGCGAAAGTGAAATATTTCGGGCAAGTACACGATTTTAGTATCATGTACCGGGCCACTTCCCGGGTTAAATTAACTGTAACCCGGGCCCGGATTTTGGTACCTTGTACCGGGCCACTTCCCTTAACTCACGAAGGTAAACGCTTGCATCAGTGGCGATACAATGTTGACTGCCGGCAGTGCATCCATGCCAAAATGCACTGAAATCTGGACCGCATAACCGAGATCCATCAACTTCAGGATGACCAGAACAATACACAATCCCTACAATTAGCATCCCCTATTCAACAAAACAACATTATTTCACCGGTTGTGTTTTAATACGATATTAATTTTAGAGACATCTGGATTAACAAGCACGCATGCAATCCATATCCTGATTTCTTTAAAACTTATTAAAATTTCAAAAGTCGGAATTAACTCATGCTGTTTCTTAACTGTCCGCGTGGGTGCGGAATCATTCTGTAATAAAGTTTAATTAAAAACTTGTGAAAAAATCGGAAGAAAGCGAACAAAATTCGAAAAATCTCATGAAATCTTCAAATTTGCCATTATAGATATCAAATAAAAGGCGAAAACGTGGGACGAAAAATTTAAAACTCCGAAAACGTGGAAATTCATTCCTCATCTCGTGACGGCCTAATTCTCGCCAGGTTTTCCAGCCGCTGACTCTGTGCCTCGGCGATCTAAAATCGGCAACTTTGAGAGCGGGTCTCCCGCCCGCTTTATACCAAACCTTTGTACAGCGTGATGAACTAGGGTGCAAAAATTTATTCTGCTAATAGGGCCATTATTTAATAACTTCTACCAGGCATTAAAAATTTGTTCTATTCAGAAGTTGCGTAAAAGTGCTAAGCAAGCATTTAGTTAATGACGCTCTTTATTCAGTAGTCGATTTACTTGTACGGGTCGATTTACTGTACTTGCACAGAAAACAAAAAATCCATGTCAAACTGCAACCGGAAATGTTGGCAATAAGCTAGGAATACTTCATAATTTCTGACGTTTTTAAGAAATTTTCACGGTGTACAGTGTACTCGTACAGTCTTACTCGTCGCTGCATCTATAAAATGCAGTGCTGTCGATACAAGTACTTCCTTATCGCAGCAAAGCTAATGCTAATCAAAAATCAAACATAAGTGCTTTTAACTAAATCTCACCATTTTGGCGATTGTCATTTTCGTCCATCGTCCCAGTCGAGCATTTTCCGTTATAACCTTGTAAATCTCCACCGGTATACACAGCCATAAAAGCAGGCACGGTATGCCGATTAAGCCGATCTGTTCAAAGCAATGCGTAAAATCTGGATGCTCGACATACCACGCCCTTGTCCCGTTCTGCAGTGAAAGAGCGACAAACAATAAATAAAACAAAAATATTTGTGACATATTTACATTGCATATAAATGATATAATGACATTGTACAGGTGCGTGTAAAGTACTCGTAATATCAGAGCGGATATGTCAGTGCGTGAATTGAAAAAAAGCAATCTCGCATACCCAGAAAACATCCCTGCAGATTCGAACCATTTTTGTACGATTCTCCAGCAGCCGGTATCAAACTGTTAGAAAAGTTTTCCTTCAATAAAGGCAGATAATCGTTGTCTGAAAATAAGAATACCATAATCAGAAAGAACTAATATCCCGGCGCAGTTATGCAGCTGTGGCTTGGTGCGCCCTATTTCATACCGGCGTTGTAAACCTTCAGTAGTGCCCGCACACATTTTGATAGCCATCCGCATTGCCACAGCAGTACTTAATCCGATGTTCTCGATCGCACTCTTGTACATGGTTATGGCTGAAGGCTACACATGAAACTACAGCCAGCAGCAACTTTAGTACTGCAAAAATTTCAACTCAAATTCTGTTCTGGTTCCGACTGTAGCATTTGTGCAAGTGTATGTAGCAATACTAACATAACATGCAAACGGTAAACTTGCTACTGCAAAATTGTAGTAGAAGTTTCTGCATGGCAAGTTTCATAAAACCTGAACACCAATAAAGCTGGACAAAATTATTAAAAAAAGCGGCTAAACCGAAGCCACTGTAATCGTGCAACTTTCCGGTCTGTTTTTGAATTTGTAATTTTAATTACTTTTTGCAAATATTTTTTATTCCGTTACTCCTGAATTTCTTTAACCTTTTCTGAAAGACGCAATATTACAGTTGTTTAAAAATTTCTAGTTAGAATTTAGAACTGTGAATAATATTGTGAGGTGCGGGGATGCTTTTTTAGTGCCATTTAGTTCCACAACCTATCTTACCGAATTCTTGCTCGCGAAAAGACTCTTTGCAGGTATTTAAAACTATAATTACAAATTCTTACAGAAGTACACCTCTCCCCGCAGGAGGATCCATGGGTAATGTGTAGCGTTAAGTCCACACAATTTAATTGAACAGAGTTTCTTGAACAGAGAACAGACTATGCATTGTACCCCCATTACGAAGATCTTCGGTTTTGTTGTTCTTGTTCCTGAAGTCACAAAAACAGAAGAAGTTGCATCAAAATATTTCGCGGTGCTAAAAATATCATGTTGAAAACATACGAGTACTGTAGAAATTATAGCTAACTGAGAGATGTTATTCCGACTGCATGATCCAGAATCGTACGATCCGTCCGGAACACTTTTACGAACGGAACTTGTCCCGGTACAAAGCACCAAATTCATGCACATCTACCGGAACGTTCGCTGTCGCGCACTCGCAAACACTTTTTTGCATTGCTTTACGATATTTTGTAGCAAAACGATTTGTACACTTGGCGTAAAATCCTTTTTTTCCGCGCGTGCGCCACAGCGAAAATTTCCATGGATGTACATGAATTTGGTGCTATATACCGGGCCCGATCCCTTAATGCATGACTGGACCGCTTCTGCCCTACCGTGCATCCAACGTTATCGATGCTAATTAAGCGTACGTAGGCGATGGAAAAAGCCAGTGGTGCAGCATACATCCAAATACCGTAAAACCCGATATTAACGCCCTGGGCTTTTATTTTTTTCGAGCTTCGGCTGGGGGCGCTTAAAACCGCAGGGGGCGTTTATTACGGGTGGGGGGGGGCGTCTAATATTTCAAATGAATAACGCGCTCATGTTACTTCAGCTTTAACGAGATTAATATGTATGAACCTTACAGAAATAATTCAGTAAAAAAGACATCAGTTAGAAAATCATCGTTTTACGGGTGTGCATAAGTGGAATTTAACTAAATTAGCAAAATGTACCATTCAGACTGTACCGACAACAGACTAAAAAAACGCGGCGCCGCGACTTAATAAGCGCCCCGGGGCGATAATTTCGGGGGGCTTTTATTATTTCGTGGCCTACGGGAGGGGGCGTTTAAAACCGCACGGGGCGTTAATTTCGGGGGGGGGGGCGTTAATATCGGGTTTTACGGTATTTGTAATTTTTGGCACAGGTCTCAGGCTAAAGTGTCCGCAGTATATGTGTACTTATTCGCAATCTCGTACAGGGGCTACATAAAATTAACAGATTCTCTCCGTAGAACTTATCGTTGCGCGGCAGAATTACTTACATATCTGATTCCGTATTTCTGGCATTTGCCAGGTTTTATCGCCAGCCACAACGCATGTGGCAGATGCCACTGCCACCTCTTATCCGCTGCCCCGTGGAAATAAGCGTAATCGACGTTTGATTTGGATACCCAAGGATAATACTGACAAAATTTTGGGGTACTAATAAACCCTGGGAATGGGAATTGGGAGTTGGTGTTGGGAATTGGTACTGGAAATGGTATTGGTAATGGGAAACACCTTAATAGATGGAAATGGTATTTCGTTATGGGAATGGGAATGGGAAAACGAAGTTTCACAAGAAGAACGCAGTCGGAGTGGAAGCACTTTTGGAATACATAACGCTTACCATTACAGGTGGCCCAACAAAATGGCGGTCTGCTTTGGTAGGCTATAGGTCCTGCCCAACGTTGAATCGATATCATACTGGTTACATTTGAAGAGCAATTGCAACCTAAAGTAACTAAGCTAAAACATGGTACGACGTTCGCATTTATTATGAAGCGTTTTGTAAAAATGGGTATTGTTGTTAAACACGCAATGTTGTTATACTGTTATGAGTAAATCTGCATGTACAACATTATTAATTCAATGATTGAATTTCAATCGACGAAATGCCGTAGCGTATATGCAATACCGAGATACTTCATTTATTTATTTATTTATTCATCAGCGCATTAAGCGACTTTCCGAAGAAATGTAACTCCCATTTTGCTTTTGTTTTATTACATGGCGGGTTGCAAATAGCAAATGTATGTTTAACAAATTAACTGGTAAGCGTAGCTAAGACAGTTGTCGTTTGCGAAACGCGTACGAGGCAGATCAGCCCAACAAGCTTTAAAAATAAATTTACATGGATAAACATGGTTGCGGATTTTACGAAAATTAGTTTTGCAGGTTTTTTCAGTTCTGTCGTTCCTTGACTGAACAGAATTACAGGTATATCGCCATTTTTTTGAAGTGGAAAATTGAAAACAACTCCTTTAACTTAAGTAATAATGTAGGATGCGTTAGTTTTCCCACCTTAAATGCAGCCAATTTTAGTTTAGATGGGGCCGGGGGTAAATTAGAATTTTGGCTTCCAGGCCATTCTCTAAGTCCACTCAGGTTCACAAAACCGTTGACAATAAACGCAAATGATGTACGATATTGTTTTAGCTTATTACTTTAGGTTGCAACTGCGCTTCATATGAAACTGGTATGATATCGATTTAGAATTGGACAAGACCTAGCACAGCAAAGCAGACCGCCATTTTGTTGACCACCCGGTAATGCTACGCATTATCTACGTATTCTGTTAAAATGTTCATTAATGAAAAAGCTGAACCTTTGCTTACGGTTAATGCGATTAAGTGATTCTATGTTCTGAACATTGTTCTTCCGAATAAAACTAATATCTAGTCAATCAGAAGTCGGGAGGGGCCTGTGCATAATTCTAAATACTGCACTTTTGTTGGGCCACCCTGTATACCCGGAAGTGCTTCGACTTCGTCTGCGTTCATCTTGTGAAAACTTTCATTTTCCCATTCCCATTACGAAATACCATTCCCATCTATCAGGGTGTTTCCCATGACCAATACCATTCCCAGTACCAACTCCCAATACCAACTCCCGATTCCCATTCCCAGGGTTTATTAGTACCCAAAATTTTGCCACCAGAAATCTGCCCTTCAAACGTTTCCATGCGAGAGTAGCAGTATTGATTTGTCTTGCTGGCCGTTTGTAATATTGTATGTTTTCATGGTTAAATGCTGAATGCATAATAAGTATTGTACGGCGGAATTATTCTTGTTGATCTGTAGCCATATTATAGTTCTAAATAATCTATTTATGTCGCGTCTGGCTCTGCTGTCTGGTTGTGGCAGAATACGACGTCACGCCGGCCGTGCGGCTGTGGCTTAAAGAAAAAGACCGCCGCTCGCGTGATACGGCGCCTTCTTGTAGTCAGGATTATTATCATCGGGTTTTCAAAAAATTTGAATCCTAAATTCACACCTTGCATCTGCCGGGCTATAATATGCATTGCTCTTGTTATAACACCAGCTACAGCTTCAAGAGTTTTGAGCGCGGTTTTTTAGTTGCAGTTCATTTACTTTTGATTTTTTGGGTTTTTGGCCATTCCGCAGCTGCAGTAAAGTTCATCACTGCACGTAATACCGTAATATTATAGCAGTATTCCTTATACCGATTTAAGGACGATTTAAGCTAATCATTAAGCTAATCGTTCAAGAGATCGGAAAGAGAATTTCGTTACGAACCAAATGGCCAAAAAAATCATGTAACCCCCTTAGGAGGGAGAAGCGTCCCCCCAAAGGGCGGCGTCCATCGGCACACCGACAACTCGCTGACGGTCATCTAGCTGACCGACAACTTGCTGACGACTATTTGCTGACCAAAAAAATGTTGACACAACAGTTTGTTGAAACAACAAATCGCTGAACGACATTTTGCTGAACGACAGTTCGCTGACACCGACGATTTGCTGACGACAATTCGCTGACTGACAGAATGTTTACCCGACAACTTGCTTACTTACTAAATTGTTGACCGACATTTTACTGACCGACGTTTTATGGAAACACCGACAACTCGCTGACAACAAGTTTAGTCTGATACCCATCGAATCCTTGTAAAACTCAATTTGAGTGACTACGATCAAATACCACAACCACTTCTGCTATTAACAGCTGCCGGCTTATGCAGCAGTCCGACAACTCCAGCCGTCCTTTTCTCCTTTTTTCTGCTCGAGCGCGTACGAGTGAATTTCGTAAAACATCTATGAAACAGAAGAAAACTATAAAATCTGAAAAACCTGAGAAACCCAAGAAACCTAAGAAACCTAAAAAAGCCTAAGAAACCTGAGAAACCTAAAACAATCCTGAAAAACCTAATAAACCAATGTAATTATTAAAACATTTTTAACAGTTATTAGTAAACCATTATTATTGACTGAGAAAATAACATACTCGTGAACTTAAAACGGCGCAATAAGTGGCAAAAAGTTATATTTCAGATATAACTGTCATAGTATTGCTTTCTTTTATGAAACTAACGAAGATTCTAATTTTTGCGTAAATATCGCTGATGTGCGTTGAACTAGTCAGCAAATTGTCGGTCAGCAAGTTTTCGTCTTCTACAAGTTGTCGGTCAGCGAGTTGTCGATTACCGATTTGTCGCTGACCGACAAGTAAGCTGTCGTTCAGCAAATTAGTTTCAGCAAGATGTCGGTCAGCCAGTTTGTGAAAAAGTGAATTGTTGGTCAGCGATTTTTCGGTCAGCAACTTGTGGTAGTCAGTAACAAGTCGGTCAGCAAATCGTCGGTCAGCGAAATGAAGGTCATAGAGTTGTCGTGCTACCTATTAAATCTGCAACATACGGTACACAAGGGAACGCAGGACGTAGGGGACATGACGGTTGGCAATAACGAACCGGATATTGGCCCTCGTTTTAACCAATTACTCCGCTTGGATGCTGAGGGATCTTGCGCCTGGGTTATTCAGCCAGGAAGAAATAGCTAGGCGCCATGACATCAGCACCAATTATCAGCGCGTTTGTATGATGATAGAAACAACAAAGAATACACCTAATAAAGTGTGTTGACTGAAAACGACCCAGTCAGTTCCGGAACTCCGACTAGACTGTTCACTATGATGCGAATTGTAGCCGCCAGATCCGGATGTCTATTTGGATTGACAGCTTTGGGTTTCCGCTGACGAGCTCGTGGGTGTATATTAAGCCATTTAGACAACACATCCGGAAATAGGCCACTTGGATGTCGAATCCATCTCTGTTTATTTCTGTGCCTCAGCGGACATCCGGAAATTTCAAGACGGAAACAGAAGACGAGCGTAGTCACGCAATTTATGGCCTATAAAACCAACAATCGTGGTATGAAAATTCAACTTACCTCTGTGATACTGACATTAGGCTCGTGATCGGCCAAATGATTTACAGCTATAACCTAATGAATTCCCATAATGACGCACAAATTGTACAACATCCAACACGTTAGCTAGAATGCGTAACGGAACCGCTTAATTGGACACTTTACAGCTTACACGAGTATTTAAGGCAACAACCCACGTATTGTTTGGGATAATAATCTGCATCAAACACTCGAACAGAGTTACTAAAATATTCAATTTTTTGTTGTTTTGGTAGAATGTTAAACTGCAAAGCGGCTGTTATACACCGTGTGTTGATCGCCGTTGCTGTTTTTGGCACTTTAACAATATCGGCAGTCAGTGGATCCGAATGGATTATCGCCGCTCTGAAGCGTGCCGACAACTCCACCGCTCAAGTGCAACCGTGGCCGCGAAGGTATTCCTTGAGTAAGCGTCGGACTATACCGTCAACCGCCGCCGTCTCCCGCTACCAGTCGGAAACTTCTTACATTTCTAATCAGGCCCACCTTGTCCGCGCAAAATATTCAAGAGAAAGCGGGCCGAGGCCATCCTCGGCACTGCAACCATCCAACCCAAAGCTCTTAGCTACCATCTTGGAAAACCTAGATGACTTCAAGCAACAGCGGAATCCGGCACTGTCAAACCGTTTTGTTCATAAATTTCGCTCAAATTATGTGGTGCCACGAACAAATTGGTATCTCGGATAAAGATTATCTCCCGATTACAGCACCTTCTCATCAGCAACGTTTCATCGCTTATTGTGTTGTCACTAATGACCAGTGACAATTAAAACACCTTTTCCCCGCTTTTGTTGTCATAATACGGTCCTACTATGCTGTTATACAGCTGGCTGTGTACCCGCTTATTCGCTGTTTTCGTAATATTATCCCTAATTTCTTTGTGGGATACGCACATTTTCTGGTATTATTGCAAATTGAATTAAGTAATTTTTGTGGTTGTACTGCGACTCCTATGGAGCTCCGGATGAATTGCGCAATTCTTTTTTCTACAAAGACGTAAATTTGCCACGGAAGCGTTAGACTCTTGCTAAATTGTGTTTGTAATTTGTAATTACGACAACAATTACGATTATTTTGCTTTCACTTCCCGTTCACCTGCAAAAATTTGGCAATAGTGAGCAAACATGGTTAGTGAACGAAATCCTTACAACCAGTAGCCTGTGATAGTAAGTACTCGTATTAGTGACGCGTCTTCAGTTATCATGGTGAAGTGGGGGACGAACAAAAAAATGCCTATTGTCATGTGCAGTACGTTGAGAAATAAGAAAAATAAATTCGTTCACTATGCTTAAACCACAAACGGTGGACACTCCACCGGGCTACACCGGTGCGATGAAAAACACCGCGGTACAAATTAAAAATCTTCACCGCATCGACGGTACAATTATCACTACCGCTGGTATCAAGGTGTTAAAATTAAATAGGGGTGGTAACATTATAAGCAACAGTTACAGTGATTCCAATTTTACAAACACTATTTCCAGTGGGTAAATAAATGGTACTAGTTAATTTAGAAACTCCCATTCTGGTGACCCATAGAAAACTGATGTATAACATACCGGCCACGGAAAAACGACAAATAACTTCCGAAGAATAACCATAACTCCACAAGCATTTTGTAAAAAAAAAATAATCGAAAAACGCGCAGCGAAAATTCTCAAAGTAAAAAAGATTGAAAGAAAATGCTTTAGTGAAGCATCTGTCGGAAGCGCTTTAGTGGAGAAATGACATCATTCGGCCTTTAAAGACTAATTTACCAGGATGTTAGTGCAAGCCTGATAACATACTGAGCGTGTAAAGGTCAGTACAAATAACGCGCAGTAAGCGCAATGTGGAGGCTTGACGCGCCCCTTACGCTACGATTATAGGAACGGCAAACGAGGACCTGCATGTAGAGTATCTTTGCTACAGGGGCTTTCATCCTGCCACCATCCACCAAACTCTAACGCTTGTCCAGTTTGTCCTTACTCACTTTCACGTCCACCAGTTAAGTAAATTAACGCTGTAAATTTATAACGCATAAAAAGTGACATTGCGCGCGGATACCTGTTTGTAGTATAATGTAAAGGTGATTCTCGTAAATTCACTGAATTTCCAGGTTGTGTAAATATGCAGGTTGTTTCTACGTATGACGTTAAGTTGCTTGTTTGCTGATGTAGCGAACGGTTTACAATATTAAAGTACAATTACCGGTCCGCTAGCTCGCGATTAGTGGCGTTTGAAGTATGTAAGAATGACGAAGATTACAAAATATACAGCACTAAAATAGATTGGAGAATTTCAAAATGTAGACACTCACCAAATCATAGTTAAGCCAGGTACGGAAATATAGGAAAGACACCTATAGGAATACGGAGATGTACAGCTTTCGAGCTGTCCGGTTGAGTTTGGTCAGTTGTAAAGAAAACAAATAAAAATAGGTCGCCGTTTTCTTTGGCACTTGGCAGTCGTTAGGCTTTATAACTCCCATGATTGTTGCAGTTTTTTAAATTAATCAAATTTCCGGCATATCCGATAGCATATTGTTATTTCTCATTAACACGTAATATAAGCCGGATTTTCCAGAAACAGGTATTAGGCCAACAGACTGTAATATTATGTGTCAACACAGAACTGCTGATACTACATAGTGTAAACGAATGCGCTGATTGGGCTGTCTTAACTTCGTACTATGGACGCATTCGTAAGTCTTCCAACTAATACTCACGTAATCCCAGCTTTCTGAGGATGATTATCGTGTGTTCGGCTAAATGTGGGTCAAATGCCGGGAGCATGTTGGGTTGACCCAGTGCACTACACGGCTTCGCTGCCATGATTAGCTGCACTTAATTACCTTATTTAAAGATTTAACTACGCGTTGACCGCAGCGTAAGAGAATGGAGCGGCAACTGGCTGAACGGGATCGATTTCCTATGACTATGCCACGTCGTAAGAATGCCAGTCAAATTCATCAAATATTGAGCACACCTATGGTGGACAGCATCCTAAACTTACTTATTAAATTTAGCCAGTCAGTAATTATTCAAGCACAGTCGATTCTCGTGCTAAATTCTTGATGACACCCTCTTCAAACGACGCAATGCAGCCTTTTTTTTACCAGTAAACGCTGTCAGTAAAACGTCGTTCTTGTTTATCAGTCATCGATCTAAACATGCACTCGCACTGGTGCTTTCTGTATTAAGTTTGCTAAGATGAGTAAAATCGATCGCCTAATTATTCTTTACCAGCAGCAGAAATGCGGAATGTTTGTGATCCTTTGCCGGTGCTGAACAGCACTATCACAGCACCAGAGCTAACGTTATGGATCACGGCACAGTGTATAATCGGCCTTGGCGGTGCCGTAACGATTGTCGTGTTAATAATGGTCATGAGCCGGCTGCGAAAAATTAGCACATTCTCTGGCCGACTTATTGTCCACTCGTTAACCATCGATCTGATTTTTTGCTTAATAGGCAACCCAGTCATCAGTATCCCGATATATCTCACTCAAATGCATGTAGAGTTCCATTACTACTGCGTTCCAGCCAGTTTTCTGTTGGTTGTGTTTATCCATGCCGGCAACTGGACAGAGGTTGTCCTGTCCGTGGACCGCTTCGTCGCCATTGTCGCACCGTTTTGGTATAAAAAAGTGCAAGCACAGCGGTATGCCATGATCGTTCCAGCATTAATTTGGCTTATTGCCATTGGTTGTAATATTCCACCGCTGTTCTCTTCGGGATTGTCCCACGGGCGCCTGCAGTCGGGTGGTTGTGGTTGGGTTCGCAAAGGTGGCGCCACGATGTCTCTTCTGGGCACCATCGGCACATATCTGCCCATTGGGATACTGAGCATCGTGTACACCAGCCTTTTCGTCGTTGTGGAGTGGATGAAAGTGATGAACCGGCGGCGGGCTGTGGCAGGCGGTGATCTTCCTCAAAATCGCATACTGCAACGCCGTCTGCATACCGCCGAAGCATTATGCTTGTCGTTCATTTGGTACTGCGCCTGCACATTGCCACCGGCAATTTTGTCCATGTTTTATGCGGAATGGTGGAGCAAAGAAATTCGCTGGCTGTTGTGCACCAAAACCGCCCAAGTGTTGGCATATGCCGCCGGCCCAGTAAGCCGCTGCCGCGAGTTGGTATTAAATTCGTGCAAAATTTTTGGAACGATTTAGAAAACACATAAAACTCGAAACAAAAAAATCTTTGTAAATTAAAAAAAGTTCGTTTTCAAAACTTTTGAAAATTCATTTTAAAATTTGTATAAATTCCGTTCGCGGATAGTCCAATCAAATACAGGATAGCATGGCTTTTCGTGCCAGACATTGAGCTTAATTATTTAAGTCATATTGCCCCCATATCTGTCCGCAATATGCCACAGCTGTATCGCTTTTACCTAACCATTACCATCACCGGTGGATTTTGAGTCAACCGTTATATAATGCACTAAGCACAGTTTGCATACTTTTTATATATATATATATATATATATATATATATATATATATATATATATATATATATATATATATATATATATATATAAATATACAAGTTTTTTTTACAAAGTACAAATTTCATGCAAAATGCAAAGTTCTAGTGAATGAACTGTTTTCTACTGAAGACGCTCTGTGCAGCGGATGTGCGCTATTACAGTCTTACTTTGCCGCAATTTTCTCAAACAAATGTCGTCCTGTTCTAGATTTTTTTCTTTGCGGTCAACGGTCAGTACCGGAACGAGTCCAGGAAAATATTCCTTAGTCAAGCAGTTCGCAATGGTCATCGCAGAGCCAGTGGCAGAAATGACAGAGCCTTGCCGGAAAACGTGCAACTGAGACCGATGGCCAGTCCTTAAGAAGTAGCATAAAGGTGTGGTTTCCTCGTACTCTTAACAATACCATAAGCTATTATTATTGCCACCCCTCGGGTAAATGTCAGCCGGCTTGCACTGTATGCCCTACCGAACAGGGCCTTTCCCATCTTTCCGTAAATTCGAATTATTCAGTTTAATTATATTAAAATTCTGTCTTCACGTTAAATCTCCGGCTTTCAAAATTTCCGACACACACTGTCAGTTTTTTAAATCGAAGATAGCAGTCTTTACAGCTACCAAAAAAGTCGAATGCCTTCGTGTAGTGTTCGGTTATTTGCTTGCTTTTATTAATTACGGAACAACTGACATGGAATGGCAAGAAAAACTAAATTCGAAGCGGATCGGTTCATAATAAGACTTCTGAAAAACCTCCGCGCGCTTAAACCTCTAAAGAATTTTATTTCATTAATAACTCCCGAACGCATGTTGCGCGCACAAACGGTTTCTTCGCCTATGTATTTGCATACTTTGGCTACAAAATATCATAAAGCATGCAAAAAGGTATTTGGAAGAGCGCGACAGAAAAGTTGCCGTGAATGTATATGAATTTGGTGCTATGAACCAGGCCAAATCCTTTAAGGCAATCTGCCATCACAGTAATATTCCTTCGTTAAACCCGTTTCAGCAACAGGTGTAGGAATAAAGAACACAATCGAAAAATTTACCGTTAAAAAGAGCCAACGTAGTAAAACCCAATCCATTTTTCGCTTTCCCGGTCCCCCATCGAAGCTTTTGATTTTTGTTTCCGTCCTTAGTATACTACGTAATGACTTATGCAACAAAATATACTGTATCACTTGCGCATTACTTCATACGACCAAGAAGCAAATGGAGAAGATTACGTGTGGTATGTCCATTGTAATGGCGAGTCTTAATAAATTTCGAGATGTACTCGCATAAGTTTTTACCAGAATGTTTATTCCCGACTGACCAGGGCACATACCGAGGCCTAAAAATCTCATTTTTGGCGGAAATGTAGGATGTTTAGAAAAACTATGTAGGATGTTTAAAAGAACTTATCCATGACCATGTGCCATGACCAATGGGCGTGGCCTAAACAAAATATAAAAGCAAATCGTACAATATGCTGTAGCCTACTGGTAATTTACCGCGTCATACGGTATAACGTTACTGAAAATTTTTGCGGGCAAATTTGCTTGTTTAAAATTACTCTTCTGTGTTGCTCCCTTGGTAATCGTTGTTCAATGATTCGGGAGATTTCTTCAAAAAAAATTAAATGTAAATTGTACCGTCAACGGTACAGTTTCCGCTTTAATTTTCAGTAGAAACGATTTACTTTAATTTGTGTAATCAAGTTTTCGAATATTACATTTTATGTACGTGTAGTCATAACTCACAGTAATGTGCCCAATTCATCCGCCGGGGGAACGGGTATTTAAATGGCGTACAACGCATGCTTTAATGTCAATTATTGTACAGCAATAACTGTCGTTAACGTGCGATCGGAAGTTTACCGTGTTGCTATGCAGAACCTTCGATGGACGTGGCATATTAAGCTTAAGTTATACTAGCTTATTTTATTTAATTTCGGAATAGTTTGAAAAGAAATTGCCGTCGAAAGCGAAAAAATGCGTCTTTTTTACGTTGAGGGCAACATCGGTTGCGGAAAATCAACGCTTTTAAAACAATTACTAAACATCCGTGAGTCTGTCTTATTCGAGCCCATCGAAAGATGGCAAAATGCGGAAGGTCGAAATTTGCTGAAAGAATTCTACACCAGCCCCGCCCTTGCGGGTGCAGAATTTCAAAGATTCGCCTTGCACAATATGATCGCTCGAGAAAACCAGTGCAGCCCAACCAACAATAGATACTTCCTGGAGAGATCCCCCTTCACATCCACCAATATATTTGCTCAGATGGGTTTGGAAGCTGGCTGGTTAACTACAACAACAGTCTTTGAAGATCTGAAGCACGCCTACAACCGCTACGAGCAGAGTAAACCTGTAGCTGAGCGCCATATCATATACGTTCGAACACTGCCAGAAACTGCCCTTGCCCGCATCCGCTCCCGTGGCCGCTCCGAGGAGCTAAACATTACGCAACAGTATATCGATAGTCTCCACCAGCAACACGAGCTCCTGTTCCGCTTGCAGCCGCCTAAGGGAGTCGCTGATGTCCATGTAGTGAATAACGACGGAAGCAGCGAAGCTCTTTGTGACGCAGTACTGAAGATCGTTAACAGCTTGCCGTCACATCAGTAAAACCTCGAGCAGTACAGTATCGCCAATCACAATTTCGCAGTGTTTCTTGTTGACCTCTATCTAGTATTTTCACTATGTCTTTCTTCTTTTTGCCGGTTAATTCTGTGAACTCCAAAGTAGCCTCCACTCTCCAGTGATTTTCTCATTGTTTCTCCTATTCTCGGTTTTTTGACTGCTTAACGTGGCCAGCATCCTGTCGGCTCTCACCCTACTTGTTAATGTTGCTCATGTTCTCTCACTCGCTCTGGTATGGCCTATTCCTTTGTTAGAACTTTTGAGTCATCCTCCTCACTCTAATCACTAATGGACATTCCCACGTATTTGAATTATGTCTATTTTACCGCATTTCGCTGTTTTACTTTTCCTCGGAAATTTACTTTGCAAGACTAAAGTCCTTATTACGTGTTTCTCGGTAAACTGCAGTAAAGTAGTGGTATCATTAGAAGGTACAGGTACTTCGCAAGTTCTGCTGTAATTAGATTGTGTTCGCAAGCACAAAAAGGCTTACGATATACGGTACGATATACGATAGGCTCTTCTACGTCATCACGGCGTACCCTTACCGGACCGTTTGACGGTAGGATCGACGGTAGAAGGCCGAGATATCGTAATGCCTACCGTTGGCGTCTGCGATATAGCAACCACCCTCAGTGGCAGTGGCATGAAGCACAACGTTTGCAGCTGCCAAATCATGAAACTTTAAAATTGTTCTGGCAGATTTTACTTATACTTGATTCAATAGAAAAGAATATTAGAAGAAAGATAAAATTCTAAGGAATTTTTTGATACCAAGCGAGTGCAGTTTATCTAAAAATGAACGAATCTGCAACCATCTGAATTTAGCATGCCAAGCTTACGGAGCCGTTGGAGTTCTCTGCGCGAGCTGTCATTAAAAGTCCATAGGCGCCTGTGTTAAAATTAAAATGATCGTAAACAGATTCATGGGCTCTTAAATCTGGATGTTTTGGTATCAAAAAATAGTTTAGAATTTTAGTTTTCATCGAGTTTACAATTGAACGATTGTTACCATCTGCCAAAGCCTTAAAACTTGTTTGAACCGCTGCATGCTTCACGTCAGAGGCAGGATTGGACCGTATCGTTTACCGTCTGCGCGTTGCGATCACTCTAACTTGTCAACGGTACAGTCACGATACGGTGTCCCAGCGTATCGTATACCGGACCGTCTATCGTTCGTGTGTAGCGAACACAATCTATTTACGTGCAAACTACGGTACTTCTTCTTCAACATTATGATACAAGCTTTGTTTGTTTCCGCAACCTATGCAACATTTCATTCTTGTTTGTTTGTTTGTTTGTTTGTTTAATTGGCTTAATGTCTACAACGATCAGGATTAACCTGCACGAGGTGGTAGACTAACAAAAAGAATGTGCTGTCACAAAGGCGAAAGCACTTCGGTAAACAAAGCTACGGACAATTCAACAGCAAATCTACAATAAACAACGGTGTTTGGCATCAACGAAACGTTTGGTCCAATTTAACTCCGTCCATTTTACACGATCCAAGCTGGAGCCAAAACTGGTAATGCTGGAGTAACATTCTATGGGAAGCTGGATCTCATTCCAAAGCTGCGCCATCAGAAATGCGAAGCTTCGCTCACTTAGGAACAGCCGTCCGTCTGAACTTGTCCCAGTAGGGTCCACTGCGTGAGGATGTTCATCCAGGGCGAAGGCATGGCGAGTTCTCCCTGCAACACAATGAGAAACGGCAGCGACTTTTCCGCGCAACTTGAAAAACATTTCTCCGTAAGGGACAAGATTGAATACCAACTTGTACATAAGAAGGAGCGATTTTTTAATGCGGTAGAACAACAGCGATTTGTAGTCTGTCAGTCGTAGCGTTTCAGGATAATCAAAACTGCAAGGTCCTAAGCGAATAGTTTTAAGGAAACGGAACTGACATTCTTCTAAAAGATCGATTAGCAACTTCTGATGACAGAAAGCGACACTGCTACCATATTCAGCGATAGGTTTGACGAGTGCATCGTAAAGTTTTCTCCTTGCTGCGCTGTTCTGATAGGGGAAAAGGGCATTCAAGTAGCGGATTCGCTTTTTCATACGACTGGCTAAATTTTCACTGTGAAACTTCCAGTTAAGTTGACGGTCAAGGTAGATACCCAAGTACTTTGATTCTTCCGCAATCGGTATACTTTCACCATTTATGGAGTATACACTACCCTGCAGTTTAACACGCTTTCTCGTAAATCGGATGTGCGCTGACTTTTTTGGATTAAATTTCAACTGATGATCCGTGGCGTACTTCGAGACAACATTGAGAGATAACTGGAGGTATTGTTCATCCTGTTCTGATTCTACCTTACGCAGAACACAAATATCGTCAGCAAACACAAATATTTCACAATCGTTCGGCAGACCATCGATATCATTCGTGATACACAAGAACAACTGAGGACCTATCTTCGACCCTTGGGGAACACCGCTCGTGACATTTCTAACAGAAAAAACTTTCCCATTAACAATTACAGCTTGTGACCGACCTTTCAAGTAGTCACAGAGCAAGTCCGTTAAGTTTTCATGTACATTCAGGTTACGCAGTTTTGCTATTACAGTTGAATGATCAACTCTGTCGAAAGCATTACTGCAGTCCAAAAAAACACAATCAACATCTACACCATTATCAACAAAGTTCATGTTTTTTTAACTAAAATTTGACTTAACAATTCAGGTGAATGTTTTTTTCGATAACCAAACTGGTGACTTTTTAAAAACCCGTTTTTACTTAAATGCAATGTTAATTTGTCGTTTATTATCCTTTCGAAAAGTTTTGACAGGGGGTGGAGACAACTGACCGGACGCCAGTTTTTCGGAATCGTAAGGTCACATGACTGCTTCGCGACAGGGGTCACGTAAGACAACTTCCACGTCTTTGGAAATTTTCGTTCGTAAAAACAGCAGTTAAATAAAATTTTCAGTGGGACTATCAAAGCAGAGCCACATGCTTTTACCAGCTGATTCGTGAATAAGAAAGGACCGCTACTTTTAGATGCGTCGAATGATTTTAAGACTTTCCAAATGTCGTTCTCTATGATGAAATTTTCTGATGTTACGAGATTTTTGCATGTCGCAGTATCTTCCAAACAATGTGACAAACATGGGACAAGCGTGCTGGCGTAGTGAATATTCCGAACTTCGGCCCTTTCTTCGTCTGTGACCGCTACGTGGTTATCAGAACGTAGTATCGGCATGCAGTGTTTGTCTACACTTTTCCTCACATACGACCAAAACTTTTTGGGGTTTGTTCGAGACGCTGTTGCCATGTCCTGAAGTTTTCTGTTCATAAAATTCCTGAGCAATGCATCGCATTTATGCGCGTAAATTTTCCAAATGGTTCTTAGCTTAACCTTGCGCTCACCGGCACTCACTCGTGCGTATCTCCTGTGTGCAGTATCGCGCTTTCTGATAGCCCGCTTAATTGAAAGCGGAAATAAAATTTCAAAGTATTTCGGTTTCAGCTTTACTCTCTCAAAATACTGGAAACTTTTTGTGACAATTTCGTTTTCAATAATTACTGCCATTTCACTGCAGGTTTTATCCAATAACTTATCTTTCCAGACGATTTCAAAAAGAGCATTTCAAAAAGGGAGAATACGTTCTGGTAAAATTTTCCACACAAACTTGTCAGCCTCTGGAGACTTATTTTTGGGCAGAAAAACCACGAATGATATTCCCTCATGGTCATTAGTGCTTGCCGGTGGACTTACAACATTAATATGGTGGATATGCCATTTAGTTGGAACAAAAACTAAATCTAAAATTTTATTTTTTTGCGTTGGAAAAGAGACAATCTGTTTCAGGTTAAACTCTTTCAACAAACTTAATAATCGTTGTCTTAGAGAAGTATTCGATGTTAAGGTCTGCCAGTCAATTTTTGGGCAATTAAAATCACCCATTAACAAAAGCCGCTGCGAATCGTTTTCTATGAATTTTTTACTTAAATATTCAAGAAAACGCGGTAAAACATCGGCGATCTCGTCTGGTGCCCCGTAGAAAACACCAACGATTATGTTAATATTGCTAATTTCGACCACAACAAACTCAAAATCATCGCTTTCAAGGTCAGATCGTCTTTAGCCTGCTAAAGACTTTTTTACTACCAGCGCTACACCACCGCCTGACCTACCAACACGTGCCCGACGAAAAACGTTGAAAGATCTAACATCCCTGAATAACTTATCTGGTAACCCAGGTTTATCTTTGGTCTCAGTGAGTCCTACTTTGTCATAACCTGAACAAAATAGCTTTACTTCATCGGATTTTGACGAGATGCCATTAATATTACAAAGCTTAATCGTTAGTTTAGATGATAAACGTTTTCTCTTATATTTATTTTTCGTTCCAGATTTCACTAGTTTAAGTTTAAATAATTTTCGTTTGTGCCTTTGGCAGTCTTCTGGAAATATTTCCAAAGTTTTACAGAAATATTGCTCGGCCAAATCTCCGCATTTAAAATCAAATTTTCACAATCAAAGAATGTGCCGACACGAGCAAAGGTGCTGCGGCGCATATCTTTTTCCGCCCTTGCTCGTACATCCACAAATCTTACTCGTATGTTTTTACTTTCGAGAAACGCTTTCAACGAATCAGCGGAGCAGTCTCTGGGTAACCCGCGCCCACAGTATTCTCTGTGGGGAACTGTGTTCAAAGTCAGCGCTTTAGCCAATGGGTCATCGCTGTTGTTACTACCCGAGCCTCTTACAGTGTTCGACCATTTGTTCTTCGAATTACTCGATACTCTCACCTTTGCCTGATTCCGGATGCTTGTGTTCCAAAACTCGCGCTGATCTTGAATCACTTTCGCATAGCTGCGCTTTCTCTCAGCCGGTTGCGTCGGCTCCGTTAATACGTATCCGGGTCGGTCGCCGCCATCTTGTGTATCAAGAACAACAGGTTCTTCAGGGTCCCCAACGGCAGCGGCATCCTGTAGATTTCTGACATTTTCCACTTCCTCGGATAGGGTTTGA